GGCCAACAGACACATGAAAAAATGTTCAAGATCACTAGCAATCAGGGAAATGCAAATCAAAACCACAATGAGGTTTCACCTCACCCCAGTTAGAGTGGCTCACATTCAGAAATTTACCAACAACAGATGCTGGAGAGGATGTGGGGGAAAAGGGACACTAACCCACTGTTGGTGGGAATGCAAACTGGTTAAGCCACTAAGGAAGTCAGTCTGGAGATTCCTCAGAAACCTGAATATAACCCTACCATACAACCCAGGCATCCCACTCCTTGGAATTTACCCAAAGGAAATGAAATTGGCAAACAAAAAAGCTGTCTGCACCTTAATGTTTATTGCAGCTCAATTCACAATAGCTAAGACCTGGAACCAACCCAAATGCCCATCAACAGTAGACTGGATAAAGAAATTATGGGTTATGTACTCTATAGAATACTATGCAGCAGTCAAAAACAATGAAACCTGGTCATTTGCAACAAGATGGAGGAATCTGGAAAACATCATGCTGAGTGAACTAAGCCAGTCCCAAAGGGACAAATATCATATGTTCTCCCTGATCAGCGACAACTAACTGAGCACCAAAAAGGAAACCTGTTAAAGTGAAATGAACACCATGAGAAACGGTGACTTGATCAGCCCTTGCCCTGACTGTTGATGAACAACTTAATACGTTACCCCTCTTAGTAATTTTTTTTGTTTGTTCTACTTAATACTTTTGGTTGAATACTGTAATCAATACACAGTTATTCTTAAGTGTTGAAACTTAACTGAAAAGTGATCACTGTTAAATATAAGAGTGGGAATAAGAGAGGGAGGAGATGTACAATTTGGGACATGCTCAAGCTGACTTACCTCAAACGGTAGAGTTGGAAACATACCAGGGGATTCGAATTCAATCCCATCAAGGTGGCATGTACCAATGCCATCTCACTAGTCCAAATGATCAATTTCTGTTCACAATTGATCATAATGATAGGACTAAGAACCAAAGGGATCACATAAACAAGACTAGTGTCTGCAAATGCTAACTGATAGAATCAAAAAGGGAGAGAATGATCCAACATGGGAAGCGAGATACACAGCAGACCCATAGAATGGCAGATGTCCTAAGCAGCACTCTGGCCTCAGTATCAGCCCTTAAGGCATTCAGATCTGGCTGAAAAGTCCATGAGAGTATTTCAGGTATGGAAAGCCAAGACACTCTGGCAAAAAAAAAAAAAGAAAAAAAAAAAAACCCCAAAACCTAAATGAAAGATCTCCGTGAGTGAGATCCCAGTGGAAAGAACAGGTTTTCAAAGAAGGAGGTACCTTTCTCTGAAGGGAGGAGAGAACTTCCACTCTGACTATGACCTAGTCTAAATATGATCAGAGTTGGTGAACTCAAAATGCTTCCATAGCCTTGGCAACTCATGACAAGAGCCTAGGGTGATTACTGATGCCATAAACAAGAGTGTCAGTTTGTTAAGTCAATAACAGGAGTCACTGTGCACTTACTCCTTATGTAGGATCTCTGTCCTTAATGTACTCTACATTTTGATTTAATGCTATGACTAGTACTCGAACAGTATTTTTCACTTTGTGTTTCTATGTGGGTGCAAACTGTTGAAATCTTTAATTAATATATGCTAAACTGATCTTCTGTATATAAAGAGAATTGAAAATGAATCTTGATGTGAATGGAAGTGGAGAGGGAGCGGGTAACGGGAGGGTTGCGGGTGGGAGGGACGTTATGGGGGGGGGAAGCCATTGTAATCCATATTCTGTACTTTGGAAATTTATATTCATTAAATAAAAGTTAAAAAAATCACAGAATTACATCCTACCACATCAATAATTACCTTTGATTTAAATGGTGTAAGTTATACAAATTTCATGTATTTCATATACACTGATTTAGGAACATAGTGATACTTCCCATTTTACCTCCCATCCATGCTCCAACCCTTCTTCCTCTTCCCTCTCTCCTTCCCACTCTTAATGTTTACAAAGGTCTACTTGCAGGTTATTTAATGATTGTAAAATTAACACTACACTAAGTAAGACTTCAACAAACAGTATGAAGAAAAAAACACTGTTCCTTAACAGAAGAGACAAGGGCTGTAAACAATAATTGAATCTCAAAGTTTCCATTTCACTCCAATACATTACATTTTAGGTACTTTATTAGTTACCGCAGATCAGGGAAAATATATGATATCAGTCTTTTTGGGACTGGCTTATTTCATTAAGTATAATGGTTTCCAGTTGTGTCATCTTGTTACGAAAGACAGGACTTCATTTTTTATAGCCGAGTAGTACTGCATAGTATTTATATATTCCATAATTTCTTTATCCAGTCAACGGTTGATGGAAATCTGTGTTTATTTTGTATCTTAGCTATTGTGAAATGAGCTGCAGTGAACATGGAGGTATATATAACCCTCTCATATGCTGATTTGTTTTGGTTTGCGTAAATTCCCAGGAGTGGAAAGGGTGGGTTGTATGGTAGGTCTATATTCAGATTTCTGAGGTATCTCCACACTGTCTTCCACAGTGGCTGGACCAGTTCACATTCCAACCAACAGTGGATTGGAGACCTTTTTCCTCACATCCTTGCCAGCATTTATTTGATTTTTGTATGAGACCCATTCTAACTGGAGTGAGGTGAAACCTCATTGTGGTTTTTCATTTTCATTTCCCTCATGGCTAGTCCTGAGCATTTTTTTTTCATGTGTCTATTGGCCATTTGAATTTCCTCTTTTGAAAAATGTCTATTCAAGTCCTTTGCCCATTTATTAACTGGATTGTTTGTTTTGTTGTTGAACTTCCTGAGCTCTTCATAGACTCTGGATATTAACCCTTTATCAGTTGCATAGTTAGCAAATATTTTCTTCCAATCTGTCAATTGTCTCTTCACTTTGCTAAGTGTTTCTTTTGCAGTGCAGAAACTTCTGAGCTTGTTGTAATCCCACTTGTCAGTTTTGGCTTTGATTGCCTATGCTTCTGTCTTTTCTAAGAAGTCTTTGCATATGCCAATGTTTTGCCGAGCTTCCCGAATTTTCTCTAGTAATTTGATGGCATTGGGTCATACAACAATGCCATGGCTGAGAAAGAACTTTTAAGATCAATCCCATTCACTATAGCTACAAAAACAATTAAATACCTTGGAATACATTTAATCAAGAATGTCACAGATCTCTATGGTAAAAATTATAAAACATTAAAGAAAGAAATATAAGAAGACATTGAAAATGGAAAAAATCTTCTATGTTCATGGATTGGAAGAATCAATATCATCAAAATATCTATACTACCACAAGCAATTGACAGATTCAATGTGATCCCAATCAAAATACCAATGACATTCTTCTCATATCTAGAAAAAATGATGTTAAAATTCATATGAAAACACAAAAGTCACCATATAGCTAAAGCAATCTTAGACAACAAAAGCAAAGATGGAGGCATCACAATATCAATTATTTTGACATACTACAGGGCATTTATAATCAAAACAACCTGATACTGGCACAAAAACACACATGTAGACTAATGGAACAAAATAGGTACTCCAGAAATCAACCAATGCATCTACAAATAACTTACCTTTAACAAAGGATCTAAGGTCAATCCCTGGAGCAAGGAAATTATCTTTAACAAATGGTGCTGGCTACAATGAATCTTCATGTACAGAAGTATGAAACTAGTCCCCTACCATACACCTTATACAAAAATCTACTCAAAATGGATTGTAAATATGTTAATTAGAAGGTATAGATTGGCAGATTATGTTGAAAAACCTGAGTATATGTCGTCAAGAAAAAATTCACTTTTGCAAACGATCTAGGCAAATTGAAAATAAATGTTGATGATAAATGAAATAAATCATGAATAAATGAAAAAGATACACCTTAATAACATTAATCAAAATATTTCAGAGTAAACAAAATTACTAGAGGCAGAGAGGAACTTTATGTAATAGTAAAAGGGCCAATCCACCAAGAAAATACTGCAATCTTAAATTTGTTGGCATCAAAATATGCAAAACACTATGATATAAAAGAACAGAGATACAAATAAATCTTAAGCAACAGAATCTAATTGACATTTCCAGAACACAGTAGTAGTAAAATACACATGTTTTTTCAAGTACCCATGGAACATATGCCAAGATAAACCACAATCTGGGCCATAAAACAAACTTCAACAAACTTTTAAAAATCAAAATCATACAGAATATTTTATCACATTAAATAATCAAATTAGAAATCAATGACAGAAGGATAACATGATCACCAAACACTTCAAAATTAAACAACACAATTCTAAGTAATATGGATATCAAAGACAAAGTCTTAAGAAAAATTTTAGAAGACAATGAAATGGATGAAAATCAAACACATAGAAATTTATGGGATATAGTGAAAGCAGTGCTGAGATATAAATTTGTAGCACAAAATGCACACATTACAAAAGAGAAAAATCGATGCTCTCTTACCTCAAGAACATAGAGAGAGTAAATACAAACTCACAAACGAGGCAAAACCAAAATTAAAGCAACATTAAGAAAAAGTAAGGAAATAATAAATATAGAAGGAAAAATCAATGGCAAATACTGTACATATATCAAAATGCTATGGTGTATTCCATATACATATGTAATTGTGATTTGTCATTTTAAAAAAATCAGTAGCAAAGCCATTGGAATACTAGAGGATGAAAAGCACATAAGGGGGTTCTATGAACAACTCTACAATATAAGTTTGGGAACATAGATGAAGTGGAATATATCTCAAAAAGCACAAAATACCACAATACCCAAAATGAAATAGAAAATTTTAATAGTTTTATAACTTAAAAATTAAATTTATAATTTAAAAACTTCCATAAATGAACTCTCCAGGTTGAGATGATTTCCGTCAACCTATCAAATTTTAATAAAAGGAAGTAACACCAATTCTACACAATAACTTTCAGAAAATAGAATAGAACACTTATTGTGATTTTGTTCTATGGTTTTTCAGGATGTTACCACTTGGGGAAACTGCCTAAAAAGGTGCATGTGGACCTCTCTGTACTAGTTCTCACAAATGCATGTCAAGGTAGGGTTATCTCAAAAACAAAAGGTTTAATGAAAATCAAGAAAATTTTACTCATTTATGAAAAAGAAATTTTGATGTAGAAGGAAAGCCAGATACACCAAAGAAGTTTGAAGAGCTGTGGCAATGTGCAGAAGAGATTGAAATTGATCATGTTTGGAGGCTAATCAGGGATGGTCTCATAGAATTTGTCACACTTCGATTGAATCTTGAAGAAAATCAGATGTCCGAGAGTAGAAAATACGAAAAAGTACTCAGATCAAGTTGAGGAACAAAATTTTTATTGTGAAGAATGGTCAAAAGGCATGATGTAATGTCTCATAGTAAGCAACAATGAGTAGTTTGGGGCCTTTGAAAAATTATTTATTTTTGTTTTAAAGGCAGAGTGACAGACAGGGTGGGGGGAGCAGAGAAGAAGAAGGAGAGAGATTTTTCCATATGCTGGTTCAGTACCCCAGGTGCTCACAACAGCCAGGACTGGGCAAGGCTGCAGCCAGGAACTCAGAACTCCATGTGAGTGGCAGAGACCCAAGCACTTGAGTCGTCTTCTGCCTCTCTGGATGCATTTAGCAGGAAGCTGGATCAGAAATAGAGTAGCTGGCACTCAAATTAGCGTTGTGATATGGGATGTGGGTGACCCAAAGAGCAGCTTAACTGCCGTGCTACAAAACCCACCCATAGTTTGGGCCCTTGATCCAGGAAAGCCTTGAGTTATAAGTGCAGAGTTTCCAATGCCAGGCTATGAGTTACAAATGTAAGTTATGGGTATGTAAGGGAAGTGCAGTTTTTCCTATTCTTTTGGCACACAGCTTTAGGAGCAGAGAGAGAACAACAGTCAACCTAACAGCGACTTGCGTAGACTAAATAATCCTAATGACAAACAATCAGGACTCCGGAAAATTAGGTGTCATTAATGCTTAGGTGGAGAGTAGCATATGATCTTTGTTTTACTAGTATCAAGGAATTTCAACAATTTTGTGGAAAATGGAATTAAAAATTTATTTTGGTACAAAATTTTTTGACATCTTTACTTTTTTTTCATAATATGGATTTCCACAAACTTTTGAAGACTCCTTATGTTCTGTGGTGTGTCCAACACCTGCATTAGAAAGGAGAGGAGGCCGGCACCGCTGCTCAATAGGCTAATCCTCCACCTAGCGGCGCCGGCACACTGGGTTCTAGTCCCGGTCGGGGCACTGGATTCTTTCCCAGTTGGTTGCCCCTCTTCCAGGCCAGCTCTCTGCTGTGGCCAGGGAGTGCAGTGGAGGATGGCCCAAGTGCTTGGGCCCTGCACCCGCATGGGAGACCAGGATAAGCACCTGGCTCCTGCCTTCGGATCAGCGCAGTGCACCGGCCGCAGCACGCCAGCCGTGGCGGCCATTAGAGGGTGAACCAACAGCAAAAGGAAGACCTTTCTCTCTGTCTCTCTGTCTCACTATCCACTCTGCCTGTCAGAGAAAAAAAACAAAGAGAACAAAAAAAAAAAAACGAGGACAGAAACAGGAATGATGAGAACAGGAAATGATGAGGAACGGAAAATGGAAGTAGAGAAGATTGGGTGGATAATGAAGACATTTCAGAGGACTTGGAGATTCTCAGATTAGTGAATGAAGTCTGGACTGATTCCAGAGTTTCTAGTGCAAGTAACATGGGAAAGATGAAGTTACTATGTCTCAAGAGGGTACTTTCTGAGATAGACACACATGAAGCCAAACAAAGGAGAAATAATGTATGTGGTTTGAGACATGGTAGGTGAAGTGATTCTGGCAGTATCCAGGAGATACCAATTTGGTCCTGTGGCTTGGGAGAAAGAATCAGACTGTAAATGTGGCTTCAGAGTTTCATGAGGTCGCTCGAGTGAGAAGAGGTTCAAGACAGAACATGGGAGACTACTGACAGGGCAGGGAAAGTGTAGGAAGAGAAGAGAACAGATATGTAGGGGATGACCTAGAAGACACAACTCTGAAGTCCCAGGTTACAGAATCCCACAGAGATTATATTTAGTAGGGTCCATAGCTGCAAAGAGATGCCGCAAGGTCAGACATGGGAAAAGGGTGAGTTCATGGACACTTAGAGAAATAGTCATTGCCTGGCAATCAGGTGGCAGCTGTGAAGAGCTGAGTGTCTGAAAGGAGGTGGGGCAGGGATTGTGCAGGCAGGTGCCACAAGCCCCTTATTTATTAATATAGTTTGTAATATTATTATTAAAAATTTTCCTGCCGTTGGTTTTCTCGCACCTGGAGAATTGTATTCTATCATCAAGTAGCAGAGGCTCAGAGTATCAGAGCCTCAGAGAATAACTTGAGCTTTTAGAAAGGCTTTTACCCAAGGGTCAGGCATTTTAAGTTATGTTAAACAATTGTTTATTTGAGGGGCCAGCATTGTGGCACAGCACCAGCATCCCATATGGATACCAGTTCAAGTCCCAGCTGCTCTACTTCTAATCCAGCTCCCTGCTAATGCACCTGGGAAAGCAGTGTAAAATTGCCATAGTGCTTGGGCCCCTGCACTAATGTGGGAGACTTGGAGGAAGCTCCAGGCTCCTGGATTCAGCCTGGCCCATCCCTGGCTGTTGCAGCCATCTGGGGAGTGAACAAGCAGATAAATCTCTCTCTTCTCTCTCTCTCTCTCTCTCTCTCTCTCTCTCTCTCTCAGTCTCTGTATAACTATGCCTTTCAAATAAATAAACCAATCTAAAAATAAATAAAAATTGGTGTATTTGAGAGGGAGGTAGGGAGGAAGAGAGGAGGGAAAGAGAGAAAGAGAGAGAGAGAGAGAGAGCTGCTGGTTCACCCTCAATGCCTGCAATGGCCAGAGCTGGGCAGGGACCCAAGCTGGGAGCCAAGAATGTAATCCAGGTTTCCCACATGGTTGGCAGGAATCCAATTACTTGAACCATCACCGCTGCCTCCAAGGGTCTGCATTGGCTGGAGTCAGGAGTCAGAGGTAAGTACTGAGCCTAGGTACTCTATGTGAGATGTGGATATCTAAATTGACAGGTTAAAAGCCAACTCTGAGTTATTCATTGTTAATGTCTCACTTTATTTTTATTCAATTTTTTCTATTTATATAAGGTAAAAAAATTCTTATATTTCAGATATATAGAGTTAGGATAGTAGATTTAGAAAGTAGATATAGATTTAGATAGTAGTATTTTGAACCCTGCACTCCCTCCTGCCCAGGCTCCTGCCCTCTCTCCTTCTTCCTTTCTTATTCTTTCTTTTAATTTGCACAATGACATACTTTCCATTTATTTAATTATCATAAGTTTAACCCTCCACTAAGTAAAGAATTCAAGAAATAATAAGAAAAAAAAAACCACTGTTCTTCAGCAGTAGAGATACAGGACTACAAACAATAATGAAATCTCAAAAGGTCAATTTCACTCACATTGCATATTTTTGTACTCTATTAGTTATCACAGGTCAGAGAGAACATATGATAGTTGTTTTTTTGGGACTGGCATATTTCCAATTGCATCTATTTTTTGGGGAAAGACAGGATTCCATTCTTTTTTATGGTTGAGTAGTATTCCATTATATATATATATATATATATATATATATATATATATACATTTTCTTTATCCAATCGTCAGTTGATGGATATCTGGGTTCATTCCATATCTTAGCTATTGTGAATTGAGCTGCAATAAATGTGGGGGTACTCTTTCATATGCTGATTTCATTTATTTGGATAACTTCCCAGGAATGTGATTGCTGGGTCATATGGCATATCTATTTTAAGATTTTTGAGGAATCTCCATAATGTCATCTAAAATGGCTGTACTAGTTTACATTCCCACTAACAGTGGATCAGGGTACCTTTTTCCTCGTATCCTCACCTGCATTTATTGTTTTCTGGTTTTTGGGTGATAGCCATTTAACTGGGGTGAAATGATAGCTCATTGTGGTTTTTTTTTTTTAGCATTTCCCTGATGGCTAGTGATCCAGAGTATCTTTTCATGTGCCATTTGAATTTCATCTTTGGGGGCTGACTTTGTGGCATAGAGGGTTAGGCTGCTGTTTATGAGTTTGGTATCCCATACTAGAGTGCTGGTTCAAATCTTGGCTACTCTGTTTGTGATCCAGCTCCATGATAATGCACCTGGGAAGGAGTGAAAGATGGCACAAGTGCTTGGGCCCTGCCACCCATATAGAAGACCTGGATGGAGTTGGCCTGGATCAGCCCTGGTCATTATGCTCATTTAGGGAATGAACTAGCAGATGGAAGATCTCTGTCTATGTCTTTCTACCTGTCAAATAAACTATATCTATAAAAGTAAATAAGTATTTACTTTTAAAATACTTATTTTTATTATTATTTTAATTGTACATATTTATGGAGCACAGTGTGATAATTTGATACATTATTCAATATCAGAACAGATTGGTGAGCTTTTCCATCACTTTAAATATTTTAATATCTCATTTTAATTCAAATTATCTTATGAATATTTTGTTTAGATATAATTTTTGTTACTGCAAACTGGATATCCCCAGGTAAATGAAATTTTGCATTTTACCTTTGGAACATTTTAAAATTTCAGAAGCAGATTATAGAGTGTGTATGTGTGTCCACATTTCATGAAAATTATATTTTGCGTCTTCCAGTAGCTGATTAAACTCTTTCCATTTCTGGTTCTAGTTGAATGCTTGTGAGTCTTCATAGTAAAAGACTTTGTTTCACAACCTCTGGGAATACCATGCAGTTGCAGAATATGAGATTTCAGAGGGTGAAATTAACCTGGTAGAAATTCAAATCTCTTTTATCTTTCAGATAAAGGCCTTTGAAATCCTTTTAGTGTGAAGTTATCAGCAGGCCAGATTCTCATATAACCTCATTACTAACCCAGGAATTATTCAAGATGCAGGGAGAGCAAGGCTCTGTGGCAGAAACTCTGTTTTTATCACTGCTGCAGTCCAGTGATAAGCTACATGTGGTCCACGGAGTTCTGCTTGGGAAATTCTGCCTGCTTGCCCCAACCCGCCCTTGGAGATTGCAAGACCACAATACGTATCCAAGACTCTCATAAATTGTGCACTAAAGAAATCTGCTCAACTTTATCTGAGAATTTCTAAAACTTATTTAATCACAGGACTTTTCTGCACATTAACATTTCCTGACTCACCTGGGGGTTTCATCTGATAAGAAGTGGAAAGGATACCTGGGAAAGATGGAGGCTTCAGAGCTGAGAGCTGTACTGCTGGGAGCGATGGTGGGGTTCTCAGCCTACGTTTGTTTTATGGAGTGAGTTTGGTAAAGCAGGAGAAACAATTCTCACTGAGCATCATCCCTGTCCTCATTTCTCCCCCGCAAAACAGCAAGAACTGGCTCGTTAGATACTAGGGTTTTGCATTTGTTCCTGAAAACATATTTCCTTCTGTTGTTACCTGTACTTTGTTCAATGGAATGAGCTCCCCATTAATAAATTAGTTTACTATAGACAGAAAAAAATGGACAAAGAACAGTTATATAAAGTTCACCAATTGTTGTAAGGCTTACTTAAAGCAAGCAAATTCACTACTTGAGGGGACAAACCTAATTTTTGAAACTGAAACCCAGTAGTGATTTACTTAGTCCATAAAGGCATGATCTTATCTGCTCAGATTTACATTGGAGCAATAAAACCTCTGGCAGCCACCCCTAGTTGTGTGAAGAGGAGACAAGAGATAAGAACATTCCTGTTTTTATTGCTTTCTAGAACATTTGAAGTTGGGGTGAGGGTGAGGGTGGGAAAGGTGTACCCACCATGGCCCTAACCATCTATTGAGGCTGATACGAGAGAAGTAAACCAGTCCTCCTTGGAAGATGTGGTAAATCTCTCAGGACGCCGGCCTCTGTTTGTCAAACCTGCCAGAGGCTTGAACAAAAAGCACTACCAGAGGAGAGACACTGCCTCCTCTTCATCAGATAACATAACTTCTCCAATTTGAAATATTCTAGGGCTTTGGGAGAATCATTGCCAGCTGTAAAACTTTCAAGGATTTTTATAGGCTGCAAGGGATCTTACCTCACTTCTAAAGCTCCTGAGCAAGCTGGAGATGTCCTGCACTTGGTTCCAGTCAACAGCATCTGGCTGAAGTGCAATGAGGGGCCAGCACTTGGGCTCTAGCATTGACACAGCTTTGCCCAGAACACTCACCAATAACCTAACCATGGGGAAATGTTGCTGCCCTGAGAGGCCTGAGATCGTTCAAGGTTTCTGTCAGGAGGAGGTGCACTGAATTCCCATGATTCCCAAGATGTCGCCATGTGGACTGTCTTAGCTCATACCCGGGACCTAAGATTCTTAAGCTGTCTTCTTTGGATATTAATAGCACTTTGGTTAAAAGCTGCCAAAGTCATGACAGACTCTGGTGGGGGGAATTTTTATTGCCTAATAAATAATATCATGGAAGGTCATAATTCCATATTAGCGACTAAATACCGAGCTGTATAAAGCATGCAAAATTGGGGCCAAGATATGGATGAAAAACAGCTTCATGACATGTCTTAAGAATTATTCATTTTCTTTTTTAATGTGAAAGTAGAGCAGAAACATTCTTCTAAAACCCAGGATTAAAAAGCTGAACAGAGCCTGGGGACCTTAGAGAGTTACATTGATAAAATCGTTTTTTTCTTTGGTTTTAAAATTACCAATAAAACCATTCTCAGACCCAGAAGACATGGAGGGACCTGTAACAACTCCCACCATGGTCTTCACCTGCCATTCTGGAAAGACACTGAGGTCATCCTGGGGAGGCAAAGCTCCTCCACTTTGGGAAACACTCAGCGTTGGGTCAGTGAGCTTCCACGATGCATCTTTGCATCCAGCCATGCTCCTAGGCGAGCACGTCTTTCTGATGGATAGACATTTTCTCTAGATGGAATGAATCCCATTTTTAATTGTTCTGTCTTACATGAGAATACTTGTTACAAATAAATACACACACACACACACAGTCTCTGCTGTAGTATTTTTTTTTATTTCCTGCAAGAGCATTGTTAGCTGTCTACAATGTTTTCTTTTAACATTATTTTCTTTGAACATTTTCACCCCTTCATCTTCCCAATATTTGTTATGACTGTCACCTACTAAATTATCCCTTTGAACAACTAGCCTAAAAATAAAAATTTGTGAAAAAAACTAAGAGCAATACCCATGGGTCTTGCTTTGTGGGGATCATGATTGGCAAAAACAAAACAAACAAACAAAAAACAACCAATATTCTCAGAGAGACTATCTTCCCACAATGGCAGAGTGAATCTCTCTAGAGAGAGCTTTGGGATTGGATATCAATGTTGAGGCAGTGTTCACCCCCTGTACTCTTAGGTCTTTTCATTCATGTTGTTCTCTTTTTAGGCACGTTGGGCTACCGTTTCCTTTTCATTAAAACATATTCTTTCTGTTTACAGAGACTCGATATTGCTACACTCAGCATACAATGGAAGTCACGGGGAACAGCGTCTCTGTCACAAAGCGCTGTGTCCCACTGGAAGAGTGCTTGTCCACTGGCTGCAGAGACTCCGAGCATGAAGGCCACAAGGTCTGGGCAACAAAGCAAATGACAGCACAGCATAGTCAACTTCCCTGTGCTTCAGATGTCTTCCAGCGCTCATGAGCAGAGCCGTAGAGCTCACGTAGGCCAGCTTTTGACTGTCTATAATGAAAAGATGCTTCCTTTTCTGTTGCTCTAAGAGAACACAGATTTATAGGAGAGCACAGGACAATCACAATCAATTGTGTAAGCACAGCAAAAGGGTATTGAAAATGATTGTACACCCTTTCCTCACTCAGATGGAAGTAATAAAGTACTATAGGGAAAAGGAGCAAGGAAACAGTTATGTCCATCATGGTAAAGCATTGCAGATGCAACAACAATTCATTCACCTGAGGAGAGCCAAGGCAATGTAGCTTTGATAGCTTTTGTAAACTGAGGGCTCATGTCTTTATTTGGATGCAGGTTTGGGGGAAAGTCTCTAATGGCTCCCAAGCCATTTGATAAATGACAAAATAATCTGCTTGTGGATTTGCTCCCTTTAAGCCTTATCTGGTGCCTGTGTATAGAAGCATGCTATGTAAAATGAATGTTGGGGCAGCCTTAAAGGAGAATATAAAGAACCAGAGAAAAGTGGCCTGACTCGGGGTTGTGGAGAATGCCCCTGTTCTGCTGGTGTTTCAGAGCTGGCTGTACATGTGGTCTTAACATATCAGGCTTTGGCCTTTGTTTAACATCTTCTCATTTCTCCTCCAAATACCCTGGATAAGGATTTCTTTCTCTTAAGAATGCAGACGTCTAATTTTCATGCCACTTCTCAGATATACCATGAATTAAATGATCTGTTACTTGCACTTAGTTTGAAAGACTATTTAGGAACCGTGTAGTAGGAGGTAAACTTTAGGCTGGGCAGTTTACATTGTAACCATATCTAGCTGAAATTTCAATTTTATAGACTTGTTCAATGTTTATTAAATAGTAAAACATATAATTTATAGAGAAATTTACCCTCAATAATCAGAAAATGTACATTCTTTTCAGTGCAAATAGAAACAGTCACAACATTGACCATGTACTAGGCCTTGAAGAAAGCATCAATATATTCATATCCCTATTCCTTTTAAATGTGAGATTGCCAGCTCTTCTGGGTAGCAGGGAGTGTTCACTGGATCCATGTCATGAGGCCTTACCCTCAAAAACCCTGCCTCCGCCCAAGCAGCCTTCTTATCATCCTTCTTTTTTTCTTCCTTTCTTTCAGGTCTGCACTTCCTGTTGTGAAGGAAATATCTGTAACTTGCCAATCCCCAGAAATGAAACCGATGCCACATTTGCCACCACGTCACCTATAAATCAGACAAACGGGCACTCACACTGCATGTCCATGATAGTGTCCTGCTTGTGGGTGTGGTTAGGACTCACGTTATAGCAGCTGCACAGCACCATGTGTAGTTGCGATCCCTGGGGCTCTCTGTGTCCACACTCATGCATGAGTCATTGCCCTGACATTAGTTGCCGGTGTGAGACCCCAGCAACTCACAGATGTCATCGCCACTTATCATGAGAAACAAACATTGCTTCAGCATAGTCATTTTGAGTCTATCCAAGACCTCAGCAGAGTCAGCCTGTCCCCAATGCAGATCCTGAGTTCCATACCACACCTTTGTTTTCACTCCAAGAAATAATCTGCATTTGTCAAGAGCTGTGGTTATTAATTTTGGGATACATGCATGAGATGCAGGAGGTCCTGGACCCTCTGAGATATTAGGGATATGATTTATGGACATGAACAGATGTGTGTGTTTTGGGAGAAAGGTGAAGAACCACTTGTTTAAACACAATCATGAATTCTCTCATGGCTTTAGAATTTTAAAACTTTGATTCCCAAATATATCGACTGTATCCCTGGAAATCCTTATCAAGTTCCTGGAAGAGTAGTAAGAAATTTAGTCTTCCCAACATTCTTCTATCAAAATTGGGAATCATATTCGCTTGGCTCTGTGTGTCAGATTATAAGGTTATCATAAAAGCTTAATATATTTGTGGGAGTGGCAGAAGTATGGTCCCTAACTTAATGGAGCTAAGTTTATCCCTTCATGTAATTGGTGAGATTGACTTGTTACCTAGTATGCTGGATGAGATCCTGGCTTCCACCTGGGTTGGTGGTATCCAAAGATTTCCCAGCAATATGGAGCTATTTTCACTAGATGTGAGATTCTATTTAGCCATAGCTAATCTGGACAGAAAGACAGCTTTAGAATTAAAAGATGTGTAGAGGTTAGTTTTGGTTCATTTTAAGGATACAGTAAGTGGCTCAGTCCAACCCTTTCTCCAGCTGCAGTTAACCCTGTCCAAGAGCCTTTCCCTTGTAAATCATGGTAACTCTAGGGACAAGATTCTGCATAAAATGAACTCTAGATAGATAAGAAAAGAAGATGTAATAGGCTAGGGTGAAAAAAGTAAGGAGACCCAATGGGAACTTTGAGTTTCTTTTAAGTATTGCTTTTGAAGTAGATGGTGAAATTTTTGCCATCCTACCTATATTTTTGGTACCCACATAGTTCCAGTTTTCTTCTTCCTTGTAAATCATTTAAACAATATTTATTTTTATATGACATAACTAGAAACTAAAATATATTCTAAAAATCCTTTACTCCAAATGAAACAATCAAATTAGAATAATTATTTTTCAATGGTGGTAGAGCTTGTAGTATGTTTGTTGAAAATAATCTATAAAACTGGCATCAGTATTGGGAAAAGTTAACATGTGGTGAGCAACAGCAATGTATTCTCCTCACGATTTTTGCTCGTGATTTCCTCAGTGTTGATGTTCCAGCAGGATTCAGGTAGTGATGCTTGTTGGTCCACTCCATGCAGGGCTGTGGGGCATATCTGTGTGAAACTTGGTGGAGCTATGGCTGATAAAGAGGCCAGTGCCATCAGGGTCTCTCTGTCCTGCACAGAAAAGTGTCTCTAGCCAATAAAAGGAGACACTCCCTGCCGCCACCTCCCTGTCCCACATCCTCAGGGACCGTTATGAACTGACAGTGGTGACTCTAATAGAAAATAGTCTAAATTGCATCAGATGACCTTAATTCAGAGTTTGGTAGGCTTATCAATATATTACCTATAATTGGGATAGAGGGAGAGAAACAAAACATTTATTAAGCACCTCTTATGTGCAAGCACTATGCTAAGCACTTTACATAAGTTAGGACATGCAATCCCTACAAGAACCCTGGAAGGAACACACCAGTATTTACACTTTGCAAATGAAGGTACTGAGGCCCAAAGAAGCTCAATAGCATGACACTTTTTCCTTCAGATTTATGTTATGTGAGATGAGGTGGGATTGAAGATGGAGGGGAGGTGGAATTACCCTCTTAGGAAAACTTCCAGGCCTGACTTCATTGGAATTGGTCCATATACTCATGAGAAGTTGATTTAATTCTGCTTCTGCAGGATGCCATTTGCATGTGTCCCTGGATGATGGTTTTACTTTGGGGATGGGGTATGGCTTCCTCATTCATCCCTCTTGCTGAAAGAGGAGACAGTTGATCTTGCATCTAAAGATGCTTTAAGGCAATGAAATTTGATGTACATATCAACGAGTACCATTTTTGTGCATGGTCACATTCCACCGGCATCTTCCAAGTACTGCATGCAATTTGAATGAGACAAGAAAGTGAACACATCTAAGTCTCCCTGGCTGATGTCCAGGGATCAAGTCCACAATGGTGCAGATTCATCCACCACTGAGGGAGTTATTGCTGACTCTACAGAGATGCTGCTGCATGCATCCTATGTGCCTGTCAGAATGGCTTGTGTTTAATTCTCCTGAAAGAAAGTGGTTTGCTCACCATTCCCAGCCTCGAGGAGACAAGCAAGGGCCATTCATGTGGAAGGTCCAGGACTGGTCAGCCGTCTGACTTTTCTACCACGTTAAACTTTCCATTAAATCTCACCATTGGTGATGGCTTTAAGTGCAAAAATCCACGATGTGTATATTAACCTATGTGCCACATATTTATTTTTAGACTCCCCTCAGCAACATGTCATTATGGGATTGTTTAATGCCTAAACTTTGTAAATATTGTACATTTTGTAAATCAATGAATAAACCTTTTAAGTGTATTTCACCGGTCTCCTCCCTGCAATTGCACATGTCAGTCAATGATTAATACACTCAGGTTATGTACAAGGCACTGGGCCTGGCACCACAGGGAACTTCCTTCCAGGAGCTCACTTTCTAGTTTTACAGGCAAGAAATACATGCATGAAAAGACAGAAGAGAATTCACCCATGCCTAATGATTCAAACCAATGATCAGTGCTGCAGAAAACTGAAGCAAACACTACCAGACTTTTCAATCATGTCTACAGTTTCCGTAAACCATCTTTGTTAAATCAAGAAATAAAAATTATTACTGTGTGTAAATATATATTTGTATTATAATATATTTTATATATTTACATATCTTCTATTTATATATACATATTTATTATATGTATATATTTATACAATACACACACATTTATGCATATATACAATATACATAATAGAAAATATTTTCCCTTAATGGTTTCTCCTGCAACAGAAAACAAATCTTGGACTAAATATCATTTTTATCCAGACAATGAATTTATTATTTTTAGTATAATTATAGATGTTTAGAGTGACTTTGAAAAACCTCAGCTTGTTTATGGTCCTGGTTACCTGTCAACACACTATATTCTGAAATGTTCAGGTATACACACCTGTTCCCCAAGGTTAGAGGTTCTCTGTTAGGTTCTGGAGCAGTGATATGGTTGGTGGTCTTTAATGTGTGGGACTTACATGTGGGTAGCTCTTGACATTAGCTTCTGTGAAGAACTCTGTGCATTTACCATAAATGGCACTGCAGGTGCCCTGTGCTTCCAGGAGATCTGCTTTTGAAGACATGGACTTACATGTTATCCAGTTTGGGAGTTTAAAAGGGAGACTCGACTTTATAAATGTGATTAATAGCTTTTTTCCTAACAGATCTATAACACTTCATTTACAAACAAAATATAGGCATACTGATGTATAAAGTCAAACATGATGATGTGGCTACTTTATAGTACCATATCTTTTCTTTTTTATTTGACATATTTAAAGAGCATTCACAAATGTTTTCAATAAATTTCCTTTAATTTACCTACTAGGAGTGCAATATGTAAAAATGCTTTGAGCATCTGTAATTGGGAGGACTTGACCTTCAAAATTCAGATAGTCTTCTAAGATTGCAAAGTGATCTTGTGGCAGGACTAAAAATGAATATGAGGCATCATAACTTGAGCATGGAGAACTCTCCACTGGAATCTACTGGAAAGCAGTCCTGTTTGCTAATTGCTATTATAATTTGGTGTTTCAAAATTAATATAGTTTCTAAAATCAAGCCACCATTTTCAGTATTTTCCCTCTTAAGCTAATTTTTAAAAACCATGGATTCTCCCATTTGCAAATAACTGTCATCTTGCTGTTACTTTTCCCAAATATTAATTCCACTGTACTTGCTGGATTGGATGAGATGTAGGAGAATTCTTCATGGTTATTTTAAAACTGAGACCTAAAATCCATACACTGAGTGCCAGCACTCAGTAGTATGTTAAACCTCCACCTGTGGTGCCGGCATCCCATATGGGTGCCTGTTTGTGTTCTGGCTGCTCTACTTCTTATCCAACTCTCTGCTATAACCTGGGAAAGCAGTAGAACATGGCCCAAGTGCTTGGGCCCCTGCACCCATGTGGGAGACCTGGAAGAAGCTTCTGGCTCCTTCTTCAGATTGACCTAGCTCTGGGCATTGTGGCTTTTGGGGAGTGAATCAGCAGTTGGAAGACCTCTCTCTGTCTCTCCCTCTCTCTGTAACACTGCCTCTCAAATAAATACATAAATAAATCTTTTTTTAAAAAATCCATACACTGATAAATGCTTCTCAGGGGTTCTCTTTTCTATTCTATAAACAACTCTGGTTTGTGTATGTGATTTTATTTTCAAAGCAGTTTCATATGCATTGTTTCAATTGATCAACATCACCTCATAGCTAAAGCTTTGAGTGGTTAGGGCAGACTGCCTGGGAGTTTGGACTACAAGGACTTTGATTCGTGACTCAAGACTGTTTTATACACACTTGTTGCCAGAATGACATGTGTAATGGCCCTGCCCTTCTCTGGCACTTTTACAAAAATGCCATTTCTTGGTTCACAGAGTTAGAGGCGAATAGGAACCTAGAAAACATCTTTGTTTTATTTAGGAAGGAAAAGAATCCCAGAGAATGTACACCATTTTGTCTCTAAGAATACCCCATTGCTGTACTGAAGAAAAGATCGAACTCATCCAAATGCCCCTCCTTTGATGCTCAAAGTAGTTAAGACCTGGGTGATGGGAACAATTTAGAGATCTCTTCTTTCTTCTCTCCCTGTGGGGCTTAAGCACCAAGAGGATGGCCTCATTAGGAAGAGGCAAAGATAAAAGTTAGAAAGGGCAACTTTCAGTTATTCAGAAACCACTTTATCAAGTTTGTTGCAAGTGCAGTGTCAGAAAATGGCCTCCGGAAGCCAACTGTGTTATCCATATGCCTACAGTTCAGACCTTCCATGGAGTCGTCCTGGGGAGGTGACAGGGATCTTGTTGTCAAAGTGGGCAAAGTCTGTCTGAAAAGCGACTCTGTTGAGTTGACACAAAGGGAACAAAATATCATCAGAATGTTGTCATGATACAAAAGGAAGTGCTAAAAATAAGTCACATCAATAAGCCCATTCACACTTGAGAAAAATTTAAAATTGACTTCTTCCCTAACCCTGTTCTAACTGCAAATAAAGGTGACTATTTGAGTCACATGGAGTCTGCACCCAGAGTCTGAGCACATCCCATCTGTCTTCTTAGTGGTGCTCACTGGGCCATTGCTACTGATCCAATTTCACCTGGCTGTTGGAGAGACTTTGCTCCCACCCCCAACCTCTCTCAGCAATAAAAGAAGACCATGAGCAACTTGGGACCTGCATCACACAGCAGCAGGTGGAGATGAGTTATCTGAGGAGAGGCACTGGGTTGGAGAAGCTCTGCATGGAGATGCCTTGGGTGAGAAATTTCTGTGTGAAGTTTCAAGGTGGGAGAGAATTTCTTGGGCTCATTCATGACTCACCCAGCTTGGGTTGTCAGTGACACATGTCAACACTGTGTTTATCCCAAACTTTAAAGACTTTTAAATACTCAGAGAGTTGGGCCCATCCCTGCCTTTATGTGTAATTAATGACCCTGTGTATGTTTTGCCACTTACCTAAATACTGAATACTCTGTAGAAACATGTCCTCCTTGATGGAAGAAAGCTTGAGATCAAAGTACAAAACATGATAAGACCTCCCATGAACTCTTTCTTCAAAATCAGGTGATCTAAAGAGAACTGAAAGGGAAGTACAGTATTTGAGAGAAAGCACAGTTGGTGTGCTTGGGGAAGATCAGAGATGAAGATGTTCAGAATAGAGTATAGGCAACAGCTTCATTTTAATTTTTAAAACATTTATTAGAGAGAGAGAAAGAGAGAGAGAGAGAGAGAGACATCCCATCTGCTGGGTCACTCCCCAAATACTCTTAACAGCCAAAGAGCCAGGCTGAAATTGGAGCCAGGAACTCAATACAGCTCTCACATATGAATGACAGGAACGCAATCACTTGAAGAGCCATCACCAATGCTTCACAGGGTGTGCATTAGCAGGAAGCTAGAGTCAGAAACAGAGCTGGAACTCAAACCTGGCACTCCAACATGGAACGCAGATTTCCCAAACAAGCATCTTAATTGCTAGCCAAATAACCACCCTTGGCTTCTTTTAGTGAGCAAGAGAGGACACTCTAAGGAAAATGTTATTTAATCCAAAGCACACAAAAATATAGGTGTTAGGCTGGTGAAAAGAATTCGCTTTTGAGGGAGAAAATTCAGAGGAAACTCCAAGCAAATTAGGTGAATAGTGTGGACCTATGTGGAGGATGTGGACGTGCACAACTCAGGATGCCAGCAGCCAAGAACCTCAGCACCAGCTTTGGAGTGAGGTGAGGCTAGACCTCAGCATCCCAAGCCACTGGTGACAAAGCTGTGGGAAGAGCCTGGCAAGAGTCAGCTCAGAGCCCTGTGGGGGACAGTGTACCTGCTAACATAGGGGGAAACAGAGGGGGCACGTTTCTCTCTCCTTGACCACCCAGCTTCGACCTCCTGTAACTTTAGCTGAGACAGGGCAGGTGCCATTTTGGACATGCACAACAGCTGCACCAGCTAGTGTCCACACACCCAGCAACCAGCTGAGAGGAGACACCTGAGTCTGGCTGGGAGAATTGACAGGGGGCTGGGAGCTTGTGACTGTGGGAGCCTTGTGTGCCAGGACTGTGAAAACACTATGGCTGCATAGGAGGGTGCAGGGTGTGGCTGGGATTTTGGGCAGTCACGGTGGGTAGTTCAATATGCTTGGGGCTCCCTGATTCCCTTGTGAGGGTCATTGCTGCAGGATACATGCTCACATTGAGGACTGCACGGATCATTTGTGTGGTTCTCGTGGCAGCATGGATGAAAATTGTACCCACTGGGGCTAGCACCCAGGCATGTCTCCTTTGAGCAGAGGAAGCAAGTGGAGGGGAGATTTACCATGCCCAACCTGGGTGTCACCTTAGACACTCCTCTCACGCTGAAGCACTGAACAGAGCTCCTTGACCACACCTATCATAAGCATCTCAGACACTTAGACACTTAAAACATTTATTAGAGAGAGAGAGAGAGACAGACAGACAGACGTCCCATCTGCTGGGTCACTCCCCAAATACTCTCAACAGCCAAAGGGCCAGGCTGAAATTGAGCCAGGAACTCAATATAGCTCTCACGTATGAATGACAGGAACACAATCACTTGAAGAGCCATCACCGGTGCTTCACAAGGTGTGCATTAGCAGAAAGCTACAGTCAGAAACAGACTAAGTGTCTGAAAGAGCAAACACTCCAGTAATCCACAGAGGCATAGTCCAGAGATAAAAGCCATTACAGTGAAAAAAATAAATAAATAAGCCAACAAGTGTCTCCACAAATGCCTATAAATATGCATAGCAATTCAAGAAACAAGAATAAGGAACACA